CTGGGAAGGGACCTTGCGGGGGACCCTGCCGAATCCCACTGTCTTCTGAGGCCATCCACGTGGTGTGACTCGAGGGACCTGTGCTGTGGGGTTCGGCACTTCCTCCTGCGTCCACTGAGTTCACACGGGTGCCCTGGCGTCCCCGTCCGCCCATGTCTGGTGTTAGGGTGACGCTGTCCCTTGACCTTCCTGGCTCCTCTCGTTCCCGTCAGCGCTGGAGGAGACCTGCACCAGTCACGTCCAGTCCCTCCCTGGGGACGGCTTGTCAGAGCCGGCTTCATTCCCGCCCACATGGATCCACTCGGGATTCTGGATTCATCTCTAGTCCTTGGGGACATCTCGTGGTCTGATTGGCAGTCTCCTGGCCCAGCTGGGGGAACTCGGGGTTCCTGGTCGCTCTCGCTGGGGGTGGGCCGTGCGTCTCCCCCAGGAGTCGCAGTTCTGGTCCGATCCACCTGAGCTGGCTTTTGTGCAGGGTGAGGAGCGGGGCCGTCCCCTCCCGTGGAGAGGCCGATGGTGTCTGGCCCTTCCTTGAGGATCTGGTGACTGGGAATGTGTAGGTTCTACTGTGACATTGCTCTCTGCGTCTCTTTTTTTTGGGGTGGGCACTGGGGATTGGACTCGGGGGCCCTCGACCACTGTGCCCACCCCCAGCCCTGCTTTGTATTCTGTTCAGGGTCAGGGTCTCCCAGGTGCTGAGGCTGGCTCTGAACTCACAGTCCTCCTGCTGCAGCCTCCAATCCCCTGGGGTGACAGGTGTGGCCACTGGCCCGGCCTCTGGCTCTCTGGACCTGTGGCCACTGTCCTTGGGTCAGTTTGGTCAGGGCTTATCAATCTTGTTTATCTTTTCAAAGAACCAACTTTGCATTACATGGATTCTTTGAGTTTTTTAAATTCTCAATTTCATTGATTCTCTTTCTGATCCTGATTTTCTTCTTTCTGCTGCTGCTCTGGGGATTGTGTGTGCGTGTGCGTGTGCGTGTGCGCGTGTGTTGGTACTGGGGTTTGAACTTCTGAGCTCCGGGCCTCGCCTTTGCTGGGGCTGCCTGGGAACTCGAGGCCCTGGGCCTCCGCTCTTGCTCGCTGCTTTCTCCTGCTGAGAGGGTCTGGCCCGTTGGTTCGCGCTTCTTGTCTAAGAACTTTTAAAAGGCTCTCACCTGAGTTCTCGACCGTCCTCGCCACTCACCGGCGCACTGTTGGGTCCCGTGGGTCCCTGTGGCCTCTGTGAGCTTGGTCAAGTTGACTCCTGTTTCATCCCAGCGTGATCCGATGAGATGCGAGAAGTCCTGTCATCCGCTCTGGTCATCTGTAAGGCGCTTTGTGGTCTGGAATCGGGTCCACCCTGAAGCAGTTCCATGATCCACCGAGAAGAGACTGTGTCCAGCTTCTGTTGAGCGACAGATTCCCCAGCTGCCTGTCGAGTGTCCCTGATTCTGACGTTTTCTCAGGCCCAGGGTCCGCCTGCGCTCATGTCTGGTGACGTCTCGTGTTGGCGGAGGTCTTGAATCACCTGTGCCACTGTCCTGGGGCCTGTCTGAGGCCTCAATTTCAGGAGTGTCTCCTTTGTGGCATTCGGTGGGCCACCATTCGGGGCGTGAACACCGTGGTGCCTCTTCCTGCTGCAGTTCCTTCCCCCCACGGTAGGACGCGGCTCGGTGTCTCTGCTGGGGGCAGCGTTGCTGTCCCCGCTAGTCCCCAGGCTCCGTTCCCATGGTGGTCCCATTTGCACCCTTCATTTTGAGCCTGTGGCTCTCTGCCCCTCGGGCTCCTGCTTGTGAACAGGCATAACGGGGTCTTGTTGGTTTATCGCCTTCTTCAGCCTCGCAGGGCCGAGACCACGAGGTCCACTGTCATGGACACGTCCTGGGCTCCTACGTCCGGGTTCACGCTCCTGTTTCTCATTTGCTCCCCTCCAGGTGAGGTTCACGGAGGCCCTGGGTCGGCCGCCATTTCTTCCTTAGATCCGGAGCTCTGCTCAGGAGCCGCGGATCCCGGAGTTCCGTTGGCTGCTTCCTCTGATCTTGAAGCGCCTTGGCTGGACACAGGTCCCGGCTGACAGTTATGTTCTTCCAGGATTGGAACAACCACTCCAGGTCCTGCCGAGTCCGCTTTGTGCTAAGAAATCTCCCTGAACATTCCCACCCGGAGATGGGAGAGCTGGTGGCACGGCCCTAAGAGCCCAACCTACCTGGCTGTGGGTGAAGCCGAGGTGGAGCCCACCTGTGGCCCTCTGTGTGGCCAGCCTTTGTGACAGGCGCCCGTGTCCTTTGGTCCGGACCGTGAGTGTACCTATTGGGTCGTCTTTAGGTTTCTGTCTGCTTGGCCTCTTACTTTCTGAAAGGGTCCCCAGTCCCCCGTGGGGGTGTCCTTAAGTGTTCACAGCCGCACTGTGGTGGGGGGGCAGTGTGTGTGTGTGTGTGTGTGTGTGTAGCTGGGCACTTGCTGGCTGTGTGAGGCCCTGGGTTTGACCCTCAGCACCACCTACGGCCTGGGGCACATTGTTGGCATGTGGCTGGTTCTTGTTCCCGACTTCAGGTCTCCCAGTCTGGCTTCCCAGTGGGGCCAGTGCTGGCTGTGGGTGGCCAGAGCTCACGGGTGCCCTGAACTCCCTCAGCCACCAAGGCTGAAGAAGGCAGAAGGGACTGGTCCCAAGTGCAGGGTCCACGACTTACCATCTGGATGTTCTTGGACAAGAGCTGGTCTCTTTGAGCCTACTCTGTCCAATGGTGGGCTGCTTTAAGGACTCGATGAGCGCAGCATATAATACGTGCTCAACAAACAAGGGTGGGTTTTACGTACCTGAGGGGTGGCCAGGGTAACTGGCGAGGTCACGTCTGGGGGGTGACACAGTTCTTCAGGGGACCCTTCTCCCAAGATCCCATCAACCATCACCTGCCCCCACCAGAGCCCTGAGCATCTCCAAATCACATCTGCACCCACCCACGGTCATGGTGACTCCCGCTGTTCCAGAGAGGTCAGAGCAGGCCTATTTACCACTTCAGCCCCAGGGGCTTGGAGTTTGCTAGAAAGATGGGCCCGAGAATCGGGAACCAGAGAAGGGGCTTCCGTGTGGCCTCCGGTGGGGCCGCAGCTCCTCAGGCAGAGCTCCCGTGGCAGGAGGTCTGGGCAGTCCAGGCAGGACAGGCGTGGCCGGGGCTGTATTTCCGCCATCCAGTCTCCTCCCCTCTCCTTTTCCCACTCAGATCCCCGAGGCTGCAGCATCCCGCGTGGTCCCTCCCCCTCGTTTTCCCCTGGGTCCAGCAGGAGACGGGGGACTTCTCCCCCAGTGCACATGTCACACAAGAAGACAAGCCACCTCCAGTTAACGTGCCTCTCCCCACACTTTTTGGTGATGTTTATTTGCATCATTCTTGATTGTAAGATTCATTTCGTTAGGGCTCAAAACCCACCTCAAAAATGCCCAGCTAGTGCCACTTTCATCTGTCCTATTGGAATTTATTCTCTTCTTTTGTATCTCTTTAAAAACTGAACCAGGGCTGGGGCTCAGCGGTAGTGCACTTGCCTGGCCTGTGTGAGGCCCTGGGTTGACCCTCAGCACCACATACGAATAAAATAAAGGTCTATCAACAACTAAGAAAATATGTGTATATTAAAAAAAAAAAGTGAACCAAACTTCAGTTGAATTTTTACTTTTTGTGGTGCCAGGGATCAGGGCTAGAGCCGTGTGCATGCTACACAAGGCTGTACCAACGAGACCAGTCCCATAAGTTCATGTCTTTTCAAACATTTTCTCATAGTGTATTCAAGACTATGATTTGTCCTCTGTATATCATTTTGGCTGCACCTCAGGTTTCAACACATAATGTACATTTTAAAAGTTTTTTTGTAGCTATAGATGGACAGGATGCCTTTATTTTGTTTATTTTTATGTGGTGCTGAGGGTCGAACCCAGGGCCTCACCAGCACTCTGCCACTGAGCCCCAGCCCCACCCCTACATAATGTACATTTTGAACGATTGCTCAGTTTTTAAGACTTTGAAACTTTTCCGTTGATTCCTTCTCCAACTCCTGGCTTTTTAAGAAATGTTTTAAGTTTCCCAATGCAGTCCTTTTCAGGAGAAGCTGAATTTATGGCAGAATCTGTCCCTCTGAGCTAAGATCAAGGAATCCGATACAGATGCTCGCCAATTTATGAGGGGATTGTGCCCTAAAAAATCCATCGTGAACTGAAAATATAGTAAGTCAAAAATATACCTGATACATTGGCGCTACTGACCACATAGCTCAGCCCCACAGAATGCTGTAAGCACCCTCCTTTCCTCTTCCAGTGGCCCCAGGGCTGCCCAGGAGCGCGGGCTCAGGGGCGCTGCCCAGCATCACCACTGAACAGGCCGCTGGGTCTCGCTAGCCCCGGGGGAAGACCAAGATGCAGCGTGTGGTCTCCGTGGGACACGTGTTGCTTTTACACCACGCAAAGTTGAAGACCTTTTCAAGCTGAGGGGTTTGTTTCTGTGTTTCTGGGGGCCCTAGGAAGGTGTTCGCTAGTGACACCACTGCTCCCTCTGTTAGGGGACACCGGCCCCCAAGCGGCAAACCCCACTTCCCAGGCACAGCCCTACCCCTGCCTGGAGATGCAGGCCAGAGGGGAGGGTCCAGGCACAGAGTAGCTCACGCTCCAGGTCCCTCCTTGGGTGGCCTTGGACATGGGGGAAGCAGCCCCCACCATCCCTTCCATGGGCGGGGCTGGCCGGGGCGTGGATTCCAGCCTGATGGATGGACGCACTGGCTTTGGCTTGGTGCCTAATCCTGCCATCATGTGTGACAACACCCTTCCACCCTGAGAGGCGGAGGCAGATTCTCAGTCATGGTCACTCAGAGGGGACCTGGGTTCAAGTCCTGACCCATCGGGGCGGTGGCGGAGTGGAGGACCAGCCAGACCATTCCCTCCAGCAGCGCGGACCACGGGCTCTCCCGCCTGCTCCCACCCCAGGGGCGCGCTGCGGGAGACGGTGGATGCAGAAGAGACCGCACGGTGGGCCTCAGGGCCGGGTCGGACGATCTTCCTTTAATACAAAGTCGGTTTATCTACATACACAGGTGGGAAGGCCACCAGCTGCTTCCGTTTGACAAACAGTGTTGAAAGCAACGGCAGCCGCTCTCGTACAAAGAGAAAAAACTCACTTGCTCGGGGTGGGGTGTCCGGTCCTTCAGTTTGTCCCCAACCTGCCCCATAGTCCCAGGCAAAGGGTCCCTGATGGCGGGGCACACGTGGCACCTGCGAGGCTGGAAAGCGCTCGGGCTGTGGCTCCCCAACTCCGCGGGTCTGACCCGCCACTGGGGCCGAGCCCCCGCTGCCCACCCCAGGGCCACTTGATATGTCTGAAAATTTAAAAAAACAAAGTCGAGACAAAAAAGCAAAACAGGAAGGAGAGAAACGAGGGGGCGAGGGCGGCCCCCGGGAGCGAGGCACAGGGCTGCCGGTCGGCGGGACACTCTGGACGCTGGCTCCGTGGAGAACCAGGTGGGGACAGAGGAACAAGCTGAGCGGCTCGTTTTAAAGTCGCTGACCGGCAAGTCTTTCGTTTCTTATTAAAAAAAGAAAAAAAGGAAAAAGAAAAAAATACACTAAAAAGAAGAGAAAGAAAGCGTCACGGACACAGCCACAGTCTGAGGGACAGCTGGCCTCGCCCGGCCGGCGCCCCGCTGGTTCAGGGCCACCCCGAGTGTCACCGCCCCCCACCCACCCTGGAGTCTCAATTTGGAATCGGAAGGAAACGAGGAATGTGCGAGTATCCTATCGAGGTGGCGCCGGGCGGGAGGTCGCGGGCGGCCTGGCTAGGGGCTCGAGGGCCGCGCAGAAGCACCGCCACCGCGTTCTGCCCTCCCGGGCCGCCCGGGCGGGTCCGAGCGCAGGCAGAGGTCGGCCGTGGCGTCGGGGCCCATGGCTTTAGGTTGCATAGTGGTCGAAGCTCCCCAGGTACTCCAGCGCCGCCTGGTAGCAGAACTGGTACTCGTCCTGGGGGAGAGGCCGCTGTCAGTGCCCGCCCGCCCCGGGGCGTGTCCTCAGCCGGGAGCCCGCTCGCAGAGGTCCCCAAGCCCAAAGCCCTCGCCAGGGGCCCCGCAAGGCAGGTGCTGGGCCTCCCCGGCCCCCGCCGGCCTGTCCAGGCAGCTGGTCCACAGGGAGGCAGGAGGCCGCCCCGCTGTGCCCTGGACATTCAATGTGCCCGGTGTGAATGTGATCTCAGGAAGTCCCCTCCTGCTCTGGGCCTCAGTTTCCCCACCCGTGTGTCTGAATCTTATGATTTGTGACTAGGGCAGGGTCTCTGGACGAACACGACCTCGCTGGGACGTTTGGGGCGTCTCTGTCCACTCCGAGAGACACTGTTTAATGTACTGGGCCTTGATGTCCTCTTCCCACCCAAGGCGGTGGCTGTCTGAGATCCCTCCACCCAGAGATCAGGGTGGCCGAGCCCCTCTCGCCAAGCGTGCGTGAGGCCCTCCCGCCGCCTGTACCTCCGTCTGCACCATGGCCGGCCGCTGCGTCCGCAGCATCTTCACCGTCTGGAAGATGTCCACCACGCCTTCGTACCGCATTCGCTCCAGCACAATGCTGAGCGTGATGAACACGCCGGTCCTGCCCACGCCGGCACTGCAGGCCAGGAAACGCGGTCACGGCTGGGGACGACACTCCCCAACCCCAAGTTGCCTCCCCAGCCACGAGGCTCCGCCCCCAGCCACTAGGCCCCGCCCCAGCCACGAGGCCCCACCCCCAGCCACGAGGCCCCGCCCCCAGCCACAAGGCCCCACCTCCCCAGCCACGAGGCTCCGCCCCCCAGCCACGAGGCTCTGCCTCCCCAGCCACGAGGCTCCGCCTCCCCAGCCCGGCTGGGGGCTCACCTGCAGTGGACGGAAATGGGGCCGTCCTGGCCGAACTGCTCCTTGGTCTTATGCACTTGGCCGATGAAGTCGATGAAACCCTCCCCCGATTTTGGCACACCCTGTTCTGGCCAGTCCGTGAACTGGAACTGCCGCACCGTCCGGGACTGGCCGTCCTGGAATGGCCAGAGGACGCCCGCTGCTGGTACCTGGCGCTCACGGCGGCTTCCTGGGCACCGACCTCAGGCCCGATCGGCACATCACCCGCCACTCCTTGCCCTGGTGCCCTCCTCTGCCACTCCTCACCACCCAAGGTGCCAGCGCCAGCCTCTGCCTTCACCCAGTGACACCACCTCAGACGTCATCGTGTCAACCAGGATGGCAGAGCCCGGGCTCCCTCCCAACGCCCCCTCGTCCACTGCAGGAACGCTCATCACACCCGAGCAGGGTCGCCCTCACCACTGACCCCACTCCCCTCTCCAGGGCCCCCCTCCTGCGGCCTCACCACCCAAGGCCCCCTGCTGCCACCCTGTCTTCCACCGAGGTCTCTCCTCCTGCCACCTACTTTCTCCAACCCCACGCGGGCCAGAACGGCGACACACTGCGTGCCCACCTCCTCTGCTGGTCTGTCCCCCACTCAGCGGCTCTGTCCATTGGTCTCCTACCACGGACTGTCCACTCATCTTTCTAGTCCCCGTGGCCAACGTCTGCCCTTCTCTGGTGCCACAGCTGATGGGCATCACGCTTGCTGACCCACTGCATGTGCCCCGTGGCTTGCCCACGTGTCGTCTGTCCACATTCTTCTCTGCAAGCCTCCCCCGCACACGTCACCAGCCTGTCCACCTCCCTCCACCGATCCCTGGTGCCATCTCATCCCACTGTCTGCATCGTCTGGACCAGGGTACCCCATTGTCCCACCCGGCCTTCCCCCGGTCCCTGGGGGCCACCTTCCATTGTCACTCTTCACAGTGGCCCTTCTCCCAACACAGGCCACCACTGTTGTCCTATTGACGGGTCCCCATCATCCCTGGCCACTCCGCAGGGCCCTGGCACCAGCTCTCGCTGCCCGCGCAGCCCTCTAACCCCCCCCACAGGGAAGGGCCTCCTCCTTTCCTGATCTTCTTGGGCCTTCCGCAGGCTCAGCACAGGACCATGACCTCCTCCCACCCACCTGGTGGGGGAAGGCGCGCCCACCCATCACCTCCACTGACCCCCTGCTCTCTGTCCCAGGGCCTTGGCTCTGCCCCACTCACCCCCTCCCTAAGGGAAGGTGGCGCTGGCCCTGCCCCTCCTGGCAGCTCACCCTGGCGTCCGTGACCTTGAATTCTCGAAGGATGTACTGAGGCATGTTGTACTCCGCCATGGGGTCCACCACAAAGTACTGGTAGCGGGCAGAGCGCTCAGCTGGCCAGTACTGGTGACACTTCTCCTGTTGAAGACAGGGCTGGGTCAGCCCCTGGTCCGGGCCTGGCTGCCCACCCGGCCGCCCTCCGTGGCTCCCGCTCACCCGGCCCATCTCGCGCAGCTTGGTGAGCATCACCACGATGGTGGAGTTGTTCTCCCAGAGCATGCGCCAGAAGTCCTCCGTGGTCTCTGCCAGTGGCCCCTGTGTCGCGATGTAGGCCTTCTGCTGCCTGCAGGACAAGCGGTGTGAGTGACCCCTCCCTCCAAGTCCTCTCATGACACTCAAAAATATCCCCAGATGTTGCCAAGTATCCCCCGAACAATCAGATGGGGTCCACTGGAAGAGCCCCGCTGTGGCAGTGGCCATCACTAAAGGCAGAGCCGAAGACTCTCCTGCCCAGCCCCAGCTCCTGTCTCCCACCAGACTGGAGACTGCGAAGGCAGGGCCCCGGTCCTCCCAGGCCCGCACCCTGTGCGCCCGGGAGGTACCTGTAGCCGTCGATGAAGCTGGCGTTGATGTAGTCGGACCCCTCCACGCCCCGGATGGGCTGCAGGCAGACGCGCGTGCTCTCGTAGGGCATGATGTTCACCAGGCGGTTCTTGAACTTGTTACAGGGCAGGTTGGCACTGATGAAGCGGGACGTGTGGGCCTTGGAGTTGGCCAGCCGCTGCAGGGAGGGGCCGCCAGGGCGGCTGTCAGGGCGTGGAGGGCACCTTGGATCCAAAGGACCCACGCTCCTCTGGCCGCCAGCCCGCCCTCCCAGGGCGGCCTCCCACCGTCACCTTGAACTCCAGCTCCATGCCGGTGACGTGCTCGCCAGGCTCCACCTGCGCCAGCTTCTGGATGTAGGAGTAGAGGCTCCGCGCGGGCACCTCCGTGTTGCCGCAGCCCACGGCCTCCAGCAGCGCCTCGTGGATGAAGCTGTACTGGTCCTCGGTCTGCACCATGTAGTTGCGCTGGGAGCGCATGAGCGTCACGTGCCCGTACACGTCCACCGTCTTCTCGGGCTTGATGCGCTCCAGCATGGCGTCGATGACGATGAAGCAGCCCGTGCGGCCCACGCCGGCGC